TCCTTTTATTTTATTTTGATCGGTCTCCTCGACGCTCTTTCTCGTTTGGTGCGGTAGCTGGTCTTTCTTTCTATCATTTTGTTTCTCTTCCGAGTGGTTTTTGTACCCTATTTTTTTCTGTTTCTTCGTGGGGTCGTGTATGCCGGGTTTTGAGACCACAGACATCTTGTCGAAGCTTTGACACACGATTTGCGATTCCCGACCAAACCATGCTTGAGACACCGCGAGGTTTCGCTCGGTAGCTCGCTTCAGAACTTCTGTCTTGCCGGTTCCTGCGGGCGTCGTTGGTACATCATCTGGTGCATAGACGTCATCCGTTATTGTGAAGAGTTCGTTGTTTCTATATTGTACAAGTATTTTTCTTTTTTGGAGTGTTCCGAAGTTTTGTATTGGTCAGGCAAGACAGGTCGGGAGTATCCACACGTTGTGTTGGTTTGTGCCGCTGCATGCCTGTTACCGGTACTCTCCCCCGCCAAGCACGTGGCATGCGGGCCCCGTAGAATGGAAGGAGAGATTGAGTTCTGAGAGGGTCGTAGAACCTCTGACTCCGACGGTGACATTCGCGTGCAATAGGAATGGAAGACATCGCATGTGCTTGAGTCCCTCTCTCGGCACACATTTTGTCCTCCATTACACCATCTAGGCTACCGATAGCACGTCAACGTAACCGTCAAAATCAGAGATACGAGCTCTCAGTACATGTTGTGTCCTCCTTCCCATCATCTATTGATTGCAAGTGAACATACCCGCCGAAACCAGAGGTTCAACGACCGAGCTCTACTTCAGCACGTAGTATGTCCTCGGCTCTATCATGTAGCGATTGCGCGTGAAGGTACCGTCGAACTCAGAGGTTCAACGAGCCTGCAAGCACTCTTTCGTTCCATTTTACGGGGTGCGCATGCCACGCGCCTGGCGGGGGAGAGTACCGGTGATAGGCATGAAGCGGCACAAATCAACACAAAACGTGTGTACTCCCGACTCTATCATGCTTGACCAATCACAACCTCGTAAAGAACCACAACTTGTCTTGAGAAAAGACATCACATCATTGTGTTAAGTACCATATCTTATCACTTGGTTTCTCACTTTTTTGGAAACAACGAAATTTTTAACAACAACGCAGAGCAGAGCATCGGCCGAACACACAAGCGAATAGAAATCCCCGGTGCTGGAAGGGCTTGCATTCCTGCTGCGGTTTCGAGATGATGACGCCGTGACGCCATCATCCCCTTCATCCTTTCGGCGACAGGGGCTTCCAAGCAGGAGGAGGAGGAGGAGGAGGAGGAGGAGGAAGAGGAGGAGGAGAAGGGCGAGAAGAGCGACGTACCTCACGAAGGTCCGGCGAACGATTCGTTATCGTTGACGTCGTCATCGTCGTCTCCGACTTTCCGGCTTTCGTCGTCGAGAAGGCGTTCTTGGGACAGGGGAAAGATGGTCATCACCAGCAGCTTCAGGACACTCCTGTCGCCCAACCTGGTGCGTATGTCTAGCTTGTCGCTTTCAGAGGGAATCGTCGCGCCGGAGACTCTCCTCGAAAACGTGTCCCGCTCCGATGATTGGGTTCTCATTAGCTTTTGTTGTGTTTTTTTTTTGTGATGATACCGTTGAGTTTTGTGTACAAGTAGCGTTTATGTGAACGCCGCCGTGGTGCTTGTTGGGGTGTTGGACGAACCCGTTATTGGTGTCCTCCTCGGAACCAAAATGATAAGTAAAGAAGGTCGCGATTGAGTGAAATGTAACACCGTCGTAGTCCCTCGGTCATTGTAGCTGTGGTTTGAAAATCCAAAATTATAACTTCGTGAATTTTGGTTGCCACACCACTCACAAGGTTTCTTTGTGTACTCTTTTTGCTGCAACCCCGAGCTTTGTCCTCCTGCGGACGAGAAAGGCCATTAGCTTCATCATTTAGCCTTTTCCAATCAATTTGCTAGGTAGCATCGACTATTGTCTTGCTACAGGACGTCGCACTTGTACTACCATGGATATCCCGTGGCACTCACCCCTAGTGACGATTTACAATCGCCCGATGTAACGGCTGGTACAAGTTCTTAAGAAACTATTAACAATCACCGTCGTGTGTGTTTGCATCTCTGGATCACCATCGCGTATGTTTGCATCTCTGGCATGCTCGCGGCAATCTCTCTCGGAACCTGTCTTGTGCCATCGTTTGGCTAAGATTCCTTGCGATCGGCAATCCATAGTGGAAATCCATATTACACCCGGCGTACCGGTTATATTTCTTCAGGAACGATCCCCCCTCCACGGTCGGATCATGGTTTGCGTCTCTACTTGCTTGGCTCTAACATTGCTGTGACACCGCTGTTACTGCCTGCTGCTGCTACCGAATCACGATACGTATTGCAGCAGTGTGTGTGTGTGTTTTTTTTTTTTTGGTACCGATCAAGTACGGCTGGTGCCCGGTTTTGTGCCGGCTGGCACGGACTGAACCTCCAAGTCATTCTGTACTTTCCATAGTCCCTGTGTCCGGTATGGTGCAAGTGAACTCTCCGGGCATATTCCGCCACTTTGCCATCGGGGTTGGGTTTTCGTCGCTTGGCAACGACGTTGTAAAACAAACCAATTCACTTCGTGAACTCGGCAACCAGGTTACCGTTTTTTTTTTTTACCTCCGGTTTTTGTTTTTTTGGCGGTAACCATAATGGTGGCCGAGTAGATCATGTTGTGCGGGGTCGAGAACCCTCGCTCCGCGCAAGGGGGATGATCGCACCACGTTGTGTTAAAATGGTCAAGCACCCTCGAGGCAGTTACACAGTGCTTACAACTGTCT